TAAAGACATGGTCATTGCGCTTAAGAACCTTGAATTCTAGCTGCTTTCTTTTACAATAGAGAAAGAGTACCTATCACATAACATGAATAGAAAAAGGATATCCAAACCCCAAGTCTAAGAAAAGAAAGAACCCTAGTCCTCCTACCATCTAGTTTCAAGTCATTCAATAAATTATCAATTATGCAGCACACATAAATTAAGTTCTGCAAATCATGCATGATGCATCATATAATAAGTTAGAAAATGAAAGAGAAAAACAATCTGGAAAGAGGTCTACCTGCAAGCATTTAGTATGGCAGAGAAAGTCACTACATTGGGTTTGATATTCAAATGATGCATCTTTCGAAAGAGTTCCAGGATACAAAAGAGTTCCCGCCTGCCTCTGTTATCTTGCCTTCCTTGACCTCCTTTCTCAGACGCTAGTTGCCCAAAAACCTGCATAATCTGGTTGTCCCTCAAATCTGCCACCTTGTTTTCAGCATCAACCTCAATGGCCACCAGAGTGGAAGGTTCAGTTTGCAAAGTGCATTCTGAAGCTGTAAGGTATCCAAAAGCATCAATGATAGAATTGTACGTGACAACGTTAGGCCTAATCCCTTCTTTTATCATATCATCAAGCAGGGATACGGCTGATTCCACCAACCCATTCTTGCACACGGCATCAATAACTGCACTGTAGAGCACAACATCAGCCTTCAATCCTGCTTGTCTGTACTCTCTTAGAACCTCCATTGCCTCCTTGTACAAACCAGCTTTTGAATACCCATCCATCAAGGTTGAATACGTTAATAAATTTGGTGTTACTTTGTCTGCTTTCATCTCCGATGAAAGTTTTTTAACTTCATCGAACATACCCTGCTTACCATATGCATCCAAAAGTGCATTATAGGTCACAATATCCCTGCTGATACCAGCAGCTTCCATCTCTTTACACACATCTAGCACCTCCTTAAACCTACCAAGCCTCCCATAAACTGTAAGCAATGTATTATATAAAACCCTATCCAATGCAATTCCCAAATATCTCATTTGACCAAACATATGGAGGGCATCATCAAATCTATCAACCTTGGAATAACCATCAATCATGGTACTATATGTCACAACATTAGGTTTAAGCCCCTTTTTTGGCATTTCTTGCAACATATGGAAAGCCAAATCCATTTGACCACCTTTACAAATTGCATCAAGAAGGGTATTATAAGTGAAAACGTCTGGCTCAATACCTTTATCAATCATCTCACTAAACAAATTCCTTGCTGTCTCCCACGCTCCCACTCTACTACAAACAGCAAGCAAGGAATTGAATGTAATCCGATCCGGTTGAATTCCATTCCTCACCATTTCATTAAAGATCTCCATAACCCGACTAAACTCGACACCCCCTTTCCCACAAGCATCAATCACCGCATTATAAGTTACCAAATTAGGAGTTATGCCATAATCCTTCAGAGAATCAAATACCTTTAAGGCCTCATCGCACAATCCACTTTTCGCATAAGCACCGATCAAAGCCGAGAAGCCGTAAACGGTATTCCCATAACCCTCGTTGAAAGCAGTTTCGAAAATCCTCTCTGCAAGCTCCACTTTCCCCAACCTCCCGAGCGTACTGATCATGGTGCTCGCCAATTTGCCCTGCTCGATCCTCCTCCTTTCTCTTGCGATGGCGAATTGGAAACACGTTAGAGCCTTCTCGCACTCACCAAGGTTTCCAAGCTCCTTCACCAAGTACGTGTAGTCATCGGAGCTACGAAGCTCGGACTCAAAGGAGAACAGAATATTCTCTACGTTTTGAGAATTCTTCATGTATTGAAGGACCTCCTCGGATACGGAACTGTGGGGAGAATTGGAGGTCGTTTTGGGGCGACCCAGATGCATCTTGGAGTAGAGGCGGGTGGAACGGCGGCCCGAAAAGTCGGGAGAGAGAGAATGGAAAGTGCTGGGGCCTGAAGGAGGTGGGTGGGTGGTGGCACCCGCGGTTGGACCAGCAACATTGCCAGGCGCGATTGGGGGCCTCGCAAAACCGAACTTCCGGGAGTGGGTTTGGGTTTGGCGACGGTGGCGGCGTTGGCTGTTCCTGAAGTTATTTTGTGCGTGTTGGTGGTTCTGGACCGTCTGGTACGGCTCTGACGGTGCTGTTATTGAAGCCGGCGTCGACGCCATTGAATTTTTCAGAGACAAGGCTCTAAAGATCAAAACTTTAATCTAGTTACAACCAGGAAGTGAAAGACAGACAGTAATCAAAGGGTTCAGATGGGGTTTTCGAAAGGCGGAAGCGCAACGGCGGAGGCCATAGAAGATGTGGAGCAGATATTGGAGACGAAGGTCAAACCTTGGATTGGAGATAAGAAAAACGAGAGAGGGACTGAGCTAACTCGGGCTGAGTCGCCCAGCCAACTAGGACGAGTTACTAAGCTAACTCGGGATGAGTTCAGGGTCTTCAAGCATTCGCATTTTATAGGCCCCCATTAGTGTCAATATATGGCAATTCTTGGTTTATTTGGCAATTTTCAGTTTATTTGGCAATATTTAATTTTCTCAAATTATTTATTTTTTTATTCAAAAATATCAGGTGGACCTTTGATAAAATTCACTAATTCAGTCATGATACACCTTTGCTCAAATGGACCCACTTTTTCAAGTGTTCAGATGCTAGTGTGCATTGGAAGCATCTACAGTCACATAACATAGGATTGATTTTTGAGTCAATAAGGATACAATTTCCATTATGATTGAGTTTTTTTTTTTTTTTGAAAATATTTACTTAATTAATTAATTAATATTTACTTTTCACATTTTAACGATGATATGTTAATCCGTCACAATTTATATTAACTTATCATCTTTTAATGACCATATATATATATATATTTTTTTTTTTGATCAGTGGGGAATTGAGGGATAGGGGGTAGATATAATATTGCTGCGGCACTGGCAGCTAAAACTCTTGGCATAGACACCGAGAGGAAGGTGCACTTCCAACGCGGCCGGAGCCGCAAGTGCTTTTAATGACCATATATTAATACATCACAATTAAATAAATTTCATTAATACATCACAATATAACAATATATATTTTGATAAGAAAAATTTATATTCACTAATTATATTTTAAGGACGATATATTTATAAGTCATTTAGAACAACAGAAATAAATCATATTAACCTCAAAATAAATTGTAATATATTTCTTTTTTTATCAAAAAAAATATAAAATGTGAATAAGTTGGAAAATTTTCTTTGAATGATGTAATGGGGCCACGTTTGGTTAGAATAAGGCTAAGATTTAGTTGCCAATTTTATTTATATGAGAAGTTAGGAAAGTAATCAAGTGGACCTTTGTTAACCAATAGAAATAGATAAGTGTTAGAATAGGGCTAAGATTGATTTTAATAGAAATGGTAAGTGTTATTTTATTGGTTAAATTCCTAAATTTATCCCTCAAATAAGAGTGTAGCGATAAATTCACCTTTTAAAAAAATATAAGGACAAATTCGTTATTGAGCATGTGATATTATCGCATTTTATAAATTCATTTGACACTTATGCATATTTTTAACAAAAAGTTAACATGTGATGACGTTACACGTTAAATAATAAGTGATTTGTCTTGGTTAATGATTTGAAAGGGTAATCTCACCAATTTGTCTCTGCTTTTTTTAGGGATGACTATGTCCCTCTCCTTTTATTTGAGGGGGTGAATTTGAGAGTTTAACCTATTTTATATTATTCGAAGAAAAATCAAATGAACCCTTTTTTTAATACTAACCCTCCAATATTTAAAAGTTCTATTAGCCCCAACCAATCCAAAATCAAGACATGTAAGACCCCATAAGAGAGAAAACTCTCTCAGCGTATATTTCTTCATTCATAAAATTTAAATTTGATATTTTATTTAAATAAAATTTAATTACTTTTACTTAAATTAACAAATCATTAGTATCAAGTGCACCTTTGCTAACGAGATAGATAATCAATCTAATCATGACAAACTTTGTGTTTAAAAGGACTCACTTTTTCTATGGTTTAGATGCTAGTGTGAATTGCAAGCATCTAGACCTACATGACATGTGATAGATTTTCAAGTTATTTAAGATATGATTTCTATAATTAAGTATTTATTTATTTTTTTAAAATATTTTATTTATTTACTTATTTAAATTTACTAATCACATTTTAATGATCATACAACAATACGTCATAATATATATTCATTTATCACATTTTAATGACGACATATTAATACGTCACAATTAAAAACATTTTGTTAATAGGGTTAAAGCAAACTGTAGTTCTCGTACTTTGTTAAAATGTTCATTACCATCCCTCTACTAAGGAAATGTTCAATGTCATCCATCTACTTTTCTTACACCATAAATGTTCATTACCATCCCTCTACTAAGGAAATGTTCAATGTCATCCATCTACTTTTCTTACACCATAAATGTCATCCCTCTTGACTGTTAATTGTCTAACGGTCAAGTATTCAACTTTTGTTTATGAATTTTTCTAAGAGCACATATTAATGATACTTTTTTGTAATAAATTTGTATAAAAAATATAAAAGTAAACATTAATTTTAATGTTATTGTCACGTAAATAAATTTAATTAAACAGTTAATAAATTAAATATTACTTTTTATTTTTTAAAACTTTTAACCGATACCCTAAAAATACAAATTAGAATAACCTTTAAGACACAAATTAGAATAATTTTTTATTTATTAATTTTTTATCCACCTTAGTGGGACTAATTTCTTTATTTTTTTTAGTTATGTATTATTCTTTCTAGCTTTAGCACCTAAATTAACGGAGTTTGTTAATTTTTTGTTAAAATTGAAATAAAATAATTATAGGATTAATCCTTAAAAATTAAAATTGTAACAATTTAATTCTAAAAGTTCAAAAATTATAAAAGTTAGTAAACTAAAAAGAATTAATAGATGACTTTTTCACATATACTAAAACATATATTAAAACAGCATTAGATATTTATAATCAAATCGAGTGATTAACTTAATTTGGAAAAAGAATTTTGACTAAAATTAAGGAAAATTTCTTAACTGAATTAAGATAAAAAATTTAAGAGACCAAAAAAATAAAGCCAAGAAATTTTTTTTAATCTTAATTAGATTTCTTTAGTTAGATTGAATTAATCACTCGATCTAATTGTAAATATCTAACATTGTTCTCATATATGTGATAAAGTCATTTACTAATCATTTTTAAGTTATTAATTTTTTTATTTTTTAAACTTTTGGAATTAAATTGTTACATTTTTAATTTTTGATAATTGGTCTTATAAATATTTTTTTTATTTTAATAGAGTTAACAAATTCTATTAGTGAAAAAAATAATTAAAAAAATTAAATATTTTACCGTTAGGCAATTAACAGTCAAAGTTAATAGCAAAATGAATGGCATCCAATTAAGGATGACATCTAACAAAAAAAGAGTAGTAGAGGGATGACAATTATGGGGTAAGAAAAGTAGAGGGATGACATTGAACATTTTCTTAGTAGAGGGATGGTAATGAACATTTTCACAAAGTACGAGGACTACAGTTGGCTTTAACCCTTGTTAATATGTCACAAGATAACGTATACATTTTGTTAAAAAATTTATATCCACTTATCACATTTTGTTGACGATATATCAATACATCACAATTGGAATAAAAGCAATAAATCATATTAACCTAAAACTAAATATATAATACATTTCTTTGTTTATCAGAAAAATATATATATATATACATGTAGATAAGTTGTAATTTTCTTTGTATAATGGGGCCTCATTTGATTAGAAATTGAATAGGGTTAAGATTTAGTTGCCAATTTTTAAGATTTAGTTGCCAACTTTATTTATATGAGAAGTTGGGAAGTGATTGATTGGCTTGAGTTATTTAGGAATATTTTATGCTATTTAAAATTTGGTAGACCTCTGCTGACGAGGCAGATATTCAATGTAATCATAATACATTTTATGTTACCTATTTTTATTACGTTCTAGAACATGATAGATTTTTTTTGATGGAAGGACATGATAGATTTTTTAAGTCAATTTAGATATAGTTTCTATCATTGAGAGTATCTTATTTATTTATTTATTTAAGTAAATGTGGATTTAACAGGTTATTTCTTGCTAATTTTATTCGTATGATTGAATAAGGCTAATTAATTAATTGGAATTGGGTTAGATTTGTTCTCCTCCAAAATGCTAAGAAAGATATGAGAGAAAACTAAGCAGCTTTTACAAAAATTTTATATTTATTTGAGGACATATCACCTAGATGTCATTTCTAAAATGGTAGAGATGAGTCGTGTTGCTGTAGTAATTTTCTTTATATATGATGGAACCATGATGCATTTTGGTAGGAATGAAGTTGCATTTGTCTCAACCAGAAAACCAATAAAGGCGTAAGTTAACGAGATGTTAATACGTGACATTTTGATGACAAGATGTTAATGCGTTACGATTAGAATAAAAGAAATAAATCATAGTAATTTCAATGTTTTTTTTTTTTATTAGTCTCTTGATATTCAGAAATTATATTAGATCTTAACTAATATAAAATCAAAACACATCAAATGAAAAACTCTTTCAATACTTATTTCTCTATTTATGAAACTCAAATTCAAAATCTTCTTTTAAAAAATTAAATTCTTTTCACGACTAACAAGTCATTGATAATTTCAAAAGTAAATATACATAAACTAAATTGGTAATTTTTTTTTTATTTTGCAACGGGACTACATTTGGTTAGAATAAAATTAAAATTCATATCAGATCTCATAAGTTTATTGTTAGATACACCTAATAACTTAATAATAACTAAGAGTTGAGGCATCATAATTCCATTCTATTTCCCATCCCTTCCTTCAGATTGTATCTATTCACAGAGAGAGAATAGGGTTAAAATTCAGTTATCAATTTTCTTTATCTTAGTAATTGCATTTGCTTACGTACTACCAGAAACCGTGTCAAAATTCTATAAGAAGAAGGTGGCCAATTTGTAACATATGGTGGTAATGTCCTACACGTTTTGTATTAGAATGTGCTATTACTACTCTAGTTAGTTAGTGACAAAACTTGGAACTATGAATGGAGAATGAAATTTTGACGATAAAAGTCAACTCCCACAGGCTATAGCGTCTCAAGTGGATGGAAGAGGGTCCTTCAATAAGCCTTCTTTCTCAAAGCAGGCTTTGGTGCTTCTCTTTTAGCATTTGTTGCTAAAGCTGATGTTGATACTCCCACATTGGCTTGGTAGACATCCTTCAATCTTACATTCGGGGAAAATAATAATTAGAACCTGTTTATTATGCTTCTGAATTCTTAAGCATATGATGGAAACATGATCCACTAACCTTGGCATGCTGATAAAAAGAACAATAACTGAAATCCCAACAATGAGAAGGAATATTGGTGCAGGAGTCGCTTCTTGTTGCATTCCAGAAAAGAATGAAATGAAAAGGGAGTGGAAGAAAACCATGCAAAAGCAATGAGTATGAAAAATCAGATCAATTATGCAGACAGATGACTCTAAATGGAATAAGTGAGGACATCCTAAAGGTCAGCGACTCAGCATTGTTCTACATAGGTGCAACATTCCTCAAGAATAGAACATTATGAAATTTTTTAGAGAATTTGATCAGACCTGCTTTTGGTGGTCCTCCTCCATATTGTATCTGAGAGGGCATACATGGACTTGGGCATTGTGCTCTAGGTCAACTTCAACAATCTCTGATTCAAATTTTTGAGTGCTTGGTGGAAGCCTAGATTTCAGCAGCAGGATATGCTTTTCCCCTAGGTAAGTCCTTCACCTGGAAAAAGTTTATATGGTGGTAATGGAAAGACGTATTCTGCTTTGGAAGGGTCACTGCCTGACTTGATTTCCCCCAATAGGTTTGAACGTAGATCTGCAATCTTTTTACCTTCAACGTGACTACTTAGGACAGTTATATTATATCTGGTTGTTCAAATACCACAAAATCCAATCCCTTGATATCCTCACGCTCAACCTAAGAAATAAGAAACATGCATGTTAGGGCTCAAATCTTAGCAGAAACACAGATGATTTACTCCCACTAAAATGGGGTTTGATAAAGCTTGATCTAGCTGGTTATGGAAAGAAGTTTCCTCACACACCTTCACCAACCACAGAAACATCAGGAGGGCAAAGTGTATCAATGTCAAGCACAATTGAAACTATTTAACATAAATAACAGCATAAAATCTCTGAATGCTAATAAATGAACATGCATGAGCATACTGAATTAACCTTCAAAGTAATGGATTCAGGAGACACACGTTCTATTTTAGCACTTCCCAAGCCATCTTTCTTCACTACTTTGATTTGAATATGTTGTATTAGGAAACAGTCCTCGTAGACAATAACTTCCAGATGAATCAGTCACTGTCTCCTCAAAGTAGCCTTTTGGCTTTGATTGGGCTTCAATATACACACCTTCCTCTGGCTGGCCAGAAAGCAAAGTAACCATACCCATAGCACTGTGAAGAAATTAAACTGCTTCAATATTGTAATGCAAAGTTGCAGTTTTGCAAGAAGTCCCAATACGTTGCTAACATCAAATTTATATGAATCTTATGACAAAGAATTTTAAGACTAAAGCAATTCGGAGAAGGGAATTTCAATTGCAGAAATGGTAGTCATGGATTTGTACCACATTAGAAAAATGGTGAAAGGCAAATTTATATTAATTTTTCAACTTAAAAAATTTCACGTGGAAAAATTTTTAAATTAAGGATATTTCAATGTAAATTTGCATGTGGTAATGCAACAAACTTACATAACACCATATCACAAAAGTATGACTTATTTATTTACAGGCATAAATAGACAATTAAAAGTGAGTGAATAATATAAAGAAAACCTGTAAGCAACACGGGTTGCTTGGAAAATGACTTCTTTAGCTCTCCAGAACCAAGTTCTATTGCCTGTGCTGAAGGTGAGAAGGCATACTCCTACAAAAATGAACAGAGAGAAACCATTGGTTGTAATTAGCTTGATTTCAACCAAGTTGAACAGATGTCTAGATACTGGTTATAGCAACAGTAACTGAAAATATATGACGTATAAATCTGAAGAGAGATAGAAATAATAGACTTCCAACATCAGTAAGGAAGCCTTTTCTAGCATGGTACATTTAGCAGAGGACATACATAGAAATTTCCAGGAAATAAGTTGTCAAAGAGGAAGGTACCACCAGTTCCAGAAACTATGTTATTCCTATATCCATCATCACTACTCAAAGACAATAGAACAGAGGGGATAGGTTCTTTGGCATCATCTTTGGAATATACATGTACAGAGATTTGGCTAAACTTCCAACAAGAAAAAGACTAAGGCCCTACTTTTTTAAGATGATACTCAGGCTGCAATAGAATAAATCAAGAAACAGAGATCAGCATATACAACCATTGATGGCACACAAGGGTAAAGAGAGTTGCATTGTAAATATTCTATACCTTTGAAGCCTTGATGTCATAGGTGATATCATCATATAAAGGTCCCACAACAAAGAGACCATCTGCCCCGGTGGTAGTTTCAAAAGCTAATTCTCCCTTTCTAGCTAAGCGAAGCCATATGGCCATCTTCATCAGCAATTATCTTTATATTAACACCAGGTACAGGGGGAGTAACTGATCCCTCTATGTATTATCCAAGTCGACCAGAGAATGGAGGAATGGGAGCTTGACAACCATCATTTGTCACCAAGACCTAAGGAAAGATGGATAAAGAATTAAAGAAAATAAAGATT